TTTCAGTAGATCCACCTGTACTGCTCTCCACTCTGTCTCTGGTGAATCTTCTTACCACCCACACCTCTGACCTATACCCCATTTCTTCTACACAAAAATAAATAAATAAAATCTTTTTAAAAAATTCAAATTAATAATATAAATAAAAATTTTTAAATGCAAAAGAAAATTTTTTAAGATTTATTTATTTATGCATATAAGAACGGGGGTACATGCCAGAAGTTTGGGGGGGGGGTGAGAGGATTCACCAGAGACAGTGTGGGGAACAGAACAGGCAGATTGAAATACACTGCTGAGGGGAGCAGCAGGTGAGACAGGAGAGGTCTGCTTCACCTTGTGGGTTGCTCCCTGGCTGGCTGGGGATCGAACTCATGCTGCAGTGGCTGCATATAGCTTTATAGTGTTATGTTTTAACACCTTGCACCACCAGGGAGGTCCCACAAAAGAAAATTTATTGAAGTAACATTGGTTGCCATGAACATTATATAGGTCTTAGGTGAGCATCATTGTAAGTGAACAACTGTATTTGACTGCTTTACATTCACTACTAAAATTCTATCCATCTTTCACAGTACAGCTGACTCCAAGGTAATCTCTGAGAAGAGTTGGCTGCCTTTCTCAAGTATTGGCAAGAAATCCTAAAACACTAAGAATGGTTGGAGTTCTGCAGGAATTAGAAGATATTGAGACTTACATAGGATGACTGTTACATCTTAGCTAACAAATCTCTTTTCTTTCTCCAAAGAGAACATTTAGATTTACAGAAACATAAGCCAATAGAATCAATCCTATGTCCAACAGAATCAATCCTACTCAAAACAATAAAAAAATCATAGCTAATCAAAACAAGATAGGTCTGAAAACAATTTAGTTACAACAGTAAAAAATCATGAGTCTACATGCCATTCAAAAGAGAAAAAACAGACTCTCACCCCGCTGGGAGTGCAGCATGGAAGTCGCTGACAGATGAAGCTTCCAAGGAAAAACAGCCCCAGAGCTGGAGCCCAAGCAGAAAGCCAAGATTAGTGGAGGTGATGGCACTGGGGCTCAAATAGAAGTTGCTACCCAAACCATGGCCTGTCTTTGATGATCAAGGAGTGCAGCTATCATGCTAGGACCTTTTTCAAGTAATTTTTCTAGTCTTTTTGGAAACTGGGAAATGAGGGTTTTAATTTTGGGATTAGATGGAGCAGGAAAACCTACAATTTTGTACAGATTACAGTTAGAAAAGTTATTACTACTATTGCTACCATTGGATTGAGTGTTGAAATAACAGAATACAAAACCGTTCCAAATCTGGGATAAAGGAGAACAGATAAACATCAGGTCACATTGAAGATGTTATTATTTGAACACAAATGCAGTCATTCATGTAGAAGACAGTTGTGATGGAGACTGAATAATCATTTCCAAATCAGGGTCGGTTGCTATGTTGGAGGAAGAAGAAGAAAAGTAATTTTAGTAATGTTTGGAAATAAACAAGACGTGGAACTGGCCTGGACTCCCTCAGAGATGGCAAAGTCACTTGGGTTACTTTCTTTGAGGGACCAAAATAGCAAATATTCAAAACTTCAGCAACCAAGACACTGACCTTGATGAGGCAATGGAATAGTTAGTTGAAACATGAAAAAGCAGACAGTAAATCACCTCTTGAAATAAAGATATCACATATCCCCTTTGAAAAAGTCAATTGTGCTTTACATTACTACACACTGACTGCAACATTTATAAACATATTAAAAAAATAAGTTTTTCATTGGAAGGTAACTTCCTTGGTTGAACCAACTAAGTATCTCTTCTGTATAACAACAAAATATTCCTTCCTTGCTTTCTTATGCTTTCTCTTTTTATGAAATTCTTATTCAAGTATAATCCTATTGTAGAATGTGGTCTTATTGAAGAAAAAAACCCTTCCTATTTTTGAATTAGTCATTTCAGCTTGTTTGTATTTTTTATTAATTTTTTAATTTTTTTACAACGTTGTTCATTTTAAAACAATATTTGCTTCCTTCCCCCCATTCCCTCAGGTGTAGTTCCCATAGAATTTCCTTCACCAATGTACCTGTGCACCATTACATCAGTCCCCTATGCTCCTCCCTCCCGCCCTCCCTCCCTCCCTCCCTTCCTCCCCCTCCCTCTGATTCCTCTTCCTCCTCCTTCCCTGCAGGATGTCTCTGATTTATAATTGTCTGTTTTTGCTTTGTTGTGTTTTGTAATGTTATTATTTTTTACACTGATGTCTTATTTGGTTCCCCTATATTCCTGCTATAAGTGAAACTATACAATATTTTCTTTTTTCCTTATGGTTTATTTCACTGAGCATAATTCCTTCTAGCTCCATCCACGTTGCTGCAAATGGCATGAGTTTATCTTTTTTGATTGCTGAATAATATTCCATTGTGTATAGCTACCACATCTTCTTGCTCCAGTCATCTATTTTTGGGCATTTGGGTTGTTTCCAGGTTTTACCTATTGTAAATAGTGTGCAGCTTGTATTAATGCCAATAAATATCTTAACTTAGAAAAAAGGGGAAAAGCACTAGAAACTGTTTTCTGATCAAAATAGTATATCAGGTTACCTTGATTAAGTAGCTAATTTTAAATATGTTCTCATAATATATGCATGCCCCACCTTGTACAACAACTACTCTTACAGCTAGTATAACTTTTACAGAACTTTTTGCTGTTTGGTATATGCCTATCAAATGGTGACAGAATAACTTGCCAGATTGTTAAAAGTTCTGTAAAACTTTAGATAGTCTATATATCTTCATTGTCATATAATCTCAAATTAGCTGGTACAATTCATAGCCAGGATGAGAGTCCTTCCCAATGCTGGTATTCAGTTGGCATAATCCATGTGGCTGGTACCATTCTCATTTATATCTGCTCCATACCAGCTATTAAACATTTTGAATATCACCAAAGGTGATTTTCTTTCACATCCAAATGGCCATCTACTAATGTGTGGCATCGTGTATTACAAGTTATTTGATATGATTATTATAAGACATTAATAAATTAAAAATTATAGTTTTCCACTTACAGATGTGAGAGTTCCTAGCCATTGGCCTGAATAAACTAAGCGATAGTCCATACCCTGCATATTTGGTTCTCATTAAAGTTTAAACAGAGCTGCCTTGGGCAGCAATCAGAAAATACAACTCAAAGATTCGGAAACTTGTCCACCATGTTATGACAAGCCGTTGTCTCCCACCATATCTGCTTCATGGGCTACTTTAGCTCTTTCCCAATTGCTAACTTCATCTTTATGTGAGATTCTAAATAAGCTCAACCTTGTTTACTTGGTATGTAGGTTTGAAGTGAAAACTATTCAAGTGGAAAGACTGTGCTAAACAACCTTGTTCTTCTCAAGGTAAGACTCAGTCATTTTTCCCCTCTGGATATATATGACCTTTTTGTGAGTGCAATGATATAGGATATAAGAATATAATTGGTGTTTATTTCTTTGCCAAGAAGGAAGCCTTGCATGTGTAACAAGTATAGAAATTATCGGAACCTAACAATGATCCACAACCCTAGAGGTTACTAGTCACCGCATAGTTCTGCCTAGGCACACACAGTGAGTGTAAACCCAACTGCTCTTTTAGGAGCATTTGCCACAAATGACTGAGACATCTCATTTCCCTAGTACAGTGGTTATCATGTTCACCTCATACAAAAGATGGGAAAAAATTGGATGCTGTCGAAATAATGGACTTCTATTTAACTTTATTTTTTAATGAATTAAGAAATACAAGGACTTACAAATAATATTTTTCCCAGTGGGCACATCACAATGCAAATGGCTTTAATGTTTCATAGTGTTTCATTATGACCACTTGACATAATGAAAGATAATAATTGGGCAGTCAAATATGAGCATTACATCTCATGTTCTAGCATGGCAGCCTCCAAACTCTCTTAGCAAAACAGCTTATATGCCTTTGAGTTAATAACATCCAAGTTATTCTATTAAACAACCACCAAATAGTAGTAGTAACTGTTATGATTTCACAAACCATATGATGCTTAATTAAATCACAAACCATATGGCACAAAACCTTAGTGCACAAAAATATGCACTGTCTTTGATAAAGTATTACTATACTTTATTATTCCAGTAATGTGTATCTAATACAAGTGAAAGGGTGAAAAGTAGCTGAAGAGTGAATGTTAGTACCTGTGTTTCTGGCTGAGACTTTTAAAAAAGATTACAAAGAAGTATTACTCAAGGAAATGTAATAATATTACTACTACTAATTTACCAATATGAAAGAGTCATGCTGACTGCTGAATAAGTGTTGTTTAAACAGAGTTATTAAAGAATGATGAACAAGTAATACATAATGAATGTATAAAAGAAATGGAAAAAAAATTTCAGTAAGGAAAAAGTTTGGAAGTAATAAATTCAAGTTAGAGCAAAATTCATGTTTAGATGTAATAAGGCCCCAAATGAAAGAACACAGGGGAAAGGCATGTGCTTGCCTCTTTTCTTTCTTTTTTAAAAAGATTTTATATATTTATTTTTGCATAGAGGAACTGGGGTGTAGGCCAGAGGTGGGAGTGTGAGAGGATTCACCAGAGACAGAGTGGGGAGCAGAACAGGCAGATTTACTGAAATACATTGCTGAGGGGACCAGCGGGCAAGACAGGAGAGGTCTGCTGTGCCATGTGGGTCAGCTCCTGCCTGGGGATCTAACTGAGGCCATCGAAGTGATAGCACTGAGACTTGCCCGTAGGCCACAAGGGAGGCCCTCTCTCCTCTTAAAAAAAAAAAAAAAAAAAAAGTAAACTGCTTAAATAACATCTCTGAAACAACTGCCAGCGACAGAGTCAGTGGGCTAAGAAGTTAGAGTAGTTGAAGTGTAAACATAGCAGATTTATAAAACTACGAAATTCTGCCCAATTCTTTTTTTTTTTTTTTTTTTTGGTGGGACCCTCGCCCACCGGGCCAGGGAAAGAACCGGGTGCTGCAGAGGCTGCAGCCCTGCGCTCACCTGCTGCGCCACCAGTGGAGGCCCAATTCTGTCCAATTCTTTAAGAGACTGTTGAATCTTTGCCGGGAATTCTAAGAGAAGTAATGAACAAAACATTCTTATAAAATTGCCAAAATACTCAGATGCACTGGGAAAATTACGATGATCCAACAAAGTTATGATCTTTCAAAGTGAAGGGGAGTTAGTGTACGGGTGAAGCATCCTGCCAAGTTTATGGGTGGAGCCCCTCTTGATCCTGGCAATAGTATTAAAAGTGACAAAACAAAGTTACATAAGAGTGGTAAGGGGCAGGAAGCCCTCCTCTCAGATGGCAAGGAATGTAACGTGAAGAAAGTAGCTGGGAGTTTCATTGTCATCTCACTAACATTCAGTGTTTGAAAATGATGGAAACTTTAAATAGAAAATTACTTCACAAGGAAGATTAGAGATGCACAAAGTGATACCATTTGGAATTTGTTTTCCTTCTTGGTTCTTTTTTCTTCTTGGGTCTTGACTCTGGGTTTTAATCTCTAGTAGTTTTAATCTCTAGTAGTTTTAATCTCTAAATTTTACTGATTGTGTCATCTTGAGTTAGTACAGTTTCTCCATCTTCTTTACTTAATTTTATAAATGGAGAAGATAATATTTATCTCGCAGAGGCCCTTTGAGTATTAAATGAGATAATGTGGGGAAAATGACTCACATTTCATAAAGTTTAGTAATTAACAGTTACCTTTATTGACTGCTTCTGACTTGCTTTATTTTGAGAAAGCACTACAACACCTGTCTGGCGTAGGTGGTTTTGTTATTATTTCATTTTTGTGTTGTTCCACATTTTATAACAGAGAATAAAAATTCAGACTCAGGAAAGTTGAGTAAGAGCCAAAATCACACAGCTATTCAATGATAGATGTGGGATGAATTTGAAGTAGGTCTGACTTGAAAATGTGTTTTTTTTTTGTTTTTGTTTTTACTGTTAAGCTATAGTTCATTCTTTAGTCAAAACAAAAACCTTCACAGATAAGCATGATCTACCACAATAACAAGGGCATGTGACAGGGTGGTACTATAGGGAGGAAGTGTCCTGAACTCCTTGTTCCCCCCTTACTGCCCAGAACAATGAACTTTCTCCTGCTTCTAAAGCAGTGTCCCTTTAAAAGATTCTTTCACATGCAGGTGTCAGCACAAATTAACCCAGAGGGAAACCAAGAGACTAGAGGATCTATCACTTTTCAGGAAGTCCTTGAATGGGTTCTATTTTTGTTGTTGGGCTGTTATTGTTTGGAGGGTGGGAGGTGGAATTAGGTTTCTTTCTGCTGTTTAAGGAGATTATTTTTGACCTTCGTGTTTTTAAATGTCACTGCTAGAAACAGACACGTGACATTCTTGATTTCCCACTGTGTTTGCCAAAATATCAGCTCATTGAATAAAAGATACATTGATTTTGGTATAGTCACACACATCTCCAAAAATAACTCAGTGTTTTTGATAGAAGCTGAGAGTAGAAAATTTAGAAGTTTTCACAAAGTTGAAAAGCAGAGGTGGGGGGGGGAAATGATCAATGAGTAGTTAAACTTGTTATGGAAGTTTCCAGGAATCAAAGTGGGGGTCAGAAAGGTTTATCTGTCCTTATAGAAAACCAACCCAACCTAACCCCAAAGAGATAAAACTCCACAAAGAATGAATCCCCCCAAAGACCACTATATAAGGACATCCCTTGCTCTTGCAATAGGCAGATCTTGCTCTAGGACTGCCCACCTGTGTCTATGCAGGTGTCTCTTTTTCCTAATAAACCTGCCCTTTTACAATGCTACCTTTGCCTGTTTGGTCTATGCAAATGTTGTCTTTGTCTTTTCCTTAATAAAATTGCTCTGTACTGCTGAACAGGAACTGCTGAAATCATTCACAGAGGAACCCAAGGACCCCACTCACTACACCCCAACACTATCAGATATAGTGGCATAAAAATTCCCAGATGTATATTGTTTCTTTCCCCAGTGCTGTTCTCTGCAGTACTTCCCTGTACTAATTTAATTCTGGATGCAAGTCTCCAATAACGACCTTGTTCTGTCAGATTTACTGACATAAACATGCTTCATGTTTATGCTCTTCTTCCTTCAATGCTGCCTCCCAACACCATCACCATAGTATTTTCCTATATGATTGAATTTCTTCCTAGAACAGAACTTTACAACTGATGCACATGTATATTCCCTGAAGTTGGTTGCAAGCTGTTTCTTTAACCCTGTGCTATCCCTAGCCTGGGTAGCAACTCCCATTTCTCAGTCTCTTCCCTTATTTTCAGTCCTATTTCAACCCTTAGGTAAAAGTTACCCTTCACAATTTTTTCTGTCTATAAATGGGAAGGGGAGAAAGGTACATTCTGACTGTATATATTATAAATTAAACAGGAATAGGAAAGAGAAAATCTAGGTCAACACATTGCTGTGAAATTGTGTCATCCAGCCACCAGACCAGATTGTTAGAGAATCAGGATCCTTTCAGAGAAGAATGAAGAAAATGTGGAACTTGAACTGCAGAGAGTGGTGCCTCTCCTGAGTTCTTAACTATTTAAAAATAGAGGGTTCTGACATCTTCTAAACACAGAGCTATACCTTTTTAGGGATGAAATTAAAAGAGGATTATAAAATATTCAAAAGACAAATGTGAGACTCAATAGGTAGGAATGTTGGGAACAGCACAGGATCAAGATGACATAAAGGGATGATTCAAGCTGTGCCACAGTGCTGAGGAGGAAATGAGAGGAAGATCCAGACACGTCTAGTTCTAGACACTCCAGTCTCAATTTTCAAACATCTGGAATCTATTATTGTGCAAATACCACACCTTTGGATTTTGTATCACTTTATTAAAATTATCTGGAGACATAGTCATATGTGGAAAGATACGGCAAAGAAAAAGGTCAAGGAGGAAAATAATCACCACGAGTCAGCAAGAAATAAAGAGAACAAAGCAATCTTTAAAAGACTCTAAATGAGGAATAGTGGCAAACCTAACAAAGCTTTGAATTTGCCCATTCAGATATCAAGTCCTTATTATTTTTATGAATGGCTTATTTTTGAGCAGATGATCTTGAGGGGTAACATCTCTCAGTTCTTCTATTTGTCCCCTTTTTCTCGAAAACTGCTTGTCAACAACTGTGAGTAGATTTGTCTTAGGTAAACATTTGGAGTATAAAGTAGATTCATCAATTTGGTTTATCAAGTTACATGCTTTATTAATTATTATATTAATTAATCTTAGAAATTTAATAATAATTTCACAAATGTAGAATGATTTTTTAAGTAGCAGCTATTATCAACTTCTACTGGCAATAATAATAACAAACTAGCCTAATTCTCTATAGAAATAACAAAACAGTTCTCTATAGTTCTCAAGATCTTACTTCGTAAAACCTGACTAAAAATCTACAGACATTTTGGTTTTATTCTTACCTTGTGATCTTATTTCAATGTCTCTTTAAATGCTGCAGCTCTGTGTGCAGAGAGCTTGCAGACTATTTATTACCCAAGGTTTGGCAGACAATCAAATTGTAGAAGGGAGTGTCTGAGCTGGTGACATATTAGTAGGTTTTTAATTACATGTAAAGAGACAATAAAGTCATGAGTCTATCAACATCCAAAATTTCCTTTTTCTTCCCTCTCGCATTCTCTATCTTAAATTTTAATTCAAGTATTATGGATTTTTTATGTTCTGTGTTTTTAAATTTCTAACTCATACCAGAATCATCTCACTTGCACCACCTCCTCCATTCTCACCTCTAGCCCTTCCTTTTCCCCTGCACATTTTAACTTGGTTTTCCTCAGAGTTGAACTTTACAACTACAACTTCAGCACTGTTCATATTGAGATTCTCTCATCATTTATATTTTCACTTTTGGGTATTGGCTTCTTCATTTAAAACTTTCACTCAGAGGTTTGTTTATTCTTCCAAAATCCTTTATGCAAAAGGTTACCTCCCTATTGCATATCAACAACATGCTGCTCATCTGCAAAGAAAAGTTCTCAGATACTCTATATACCGTAACATTACTGCTGCCTCTTTCTTCCCCAAAGTTCCACTGTCTTTCCATTCATTCGCTAAGTCTCACAGAAGATACAGCTTTTTGTTACAAAAGTAAATCCTGTGCCATAGATCCCATCTCTCTCTACCTTATGAGGAATATTATTCCTAATGTCATCTTTCCCCTTTTTTTTTTTTTTTTGTTATCTGTAAGAGAAAGGGGTGATGAAATGCCTTTTAAAAGCTCAGTATTTCTTTCCCTCTTGTTCCTCTGACTTCTGGGAATGTTAGAGGACAGCCCCAATGTAAAACGAGTTGCCTGACTGTGGGTCCTCACCCACGCGCTTAAAAGGGACTTAATACTCCGATGCAGGCACACACAAAAGGTTAATAAAAGATTTATTCACAAGGGAACAGGAAATGAGGAAATGTACAACTCAGGGAGAAAAGTGGGGAGATTAAGTCTTAAATGAGTCTTACCGGATCCGCCGATCTGGAATCCCAAATGGCACTCTGAGAGCTAGACCCGAGCCATGAGCCGGGAAGCCAGGAGGTGAGCAAGAGAGAGAGAGAGAGAGAGAGACCCCAAGGCCCACGTGTCTGGTTTTTATACCAAACCTGGTTGCTTAACTCCACCCTCAGGTCCCAGCAACCTTCCCTTTGGTGGTGATGGGATTTGTCTTTCCCAATGTCCTGATGGCTTTGGTCGGGAGTGGGGATGGAGTCCACAAAGCCTGTGTGGAAAGCCCCCATTCCTGGCAAAAACAGTTCATCAATCCAAGCCAAAAAAAATATCTGGAGGCATAGAGATCGAGGTTGCAAAGTTATGAATTACTGCCAGAACCTCCTGGATGTGTTTCACATATTGTGTGATCTGGCAACCTTGTGATATTTTTGGACTGGCTTTCAGAAATGAGGCCTGGAAGGGTCTTCCAAACACAATTTCAAAGGGGCTTCATTGTAGCCCACTTGGTGCCACTCTAATCTGGAGGAAGGCAAGGGATAGTACCTGGTCCCAACGAAGTTGTGTTTCTTGGCACAGTTTTGCCAAGGTTTTCTTCAAGGTGTGGTTCATCTTTTCTGTTTGCCCAGAAGACTGCGGTCTCCAAGCAGCATGCAATTTCCAGCTGATCTGTAATGCTCTGCTTACTGCATGAGTGACGTCAGAGACAAATCCCGGCCCATTATCACTCTGGATGGAGTCAGGCAACCCAAAGCAAGGGATTATCTCCTTCAGCAGCTGTTTTGCAACTTCAGAAGCTTTTTCCGTCTTAGTGGGAAATGCTTCCACCCATCCCGAGAACTTGTCCACAAAAACCAATAGGTATTTGAAATTGCCTGTTCTAGGCATTTGTGTAAAGTCTACCTGCCAGTCCTCAAAAGGACACTTGCCCAATATTGAACCCCAATGGCTTTAGGGTGGGAGTCAGTCTTGGGGTTATTCCTGGCACATAGTTGATGCGTTGTGCTATTTTATGTAAATATGGGCCTTTCAAATATGGGCGCACTGTTTCTAATAAGTCATCTCTCCCATAGTGAGATCCTTTGTGAAGATGTTTTAGCACCAGATATACCAGGGCCTCTGGGAGGAGTATCATCCCATGGGAGTTTACTCTCCAAGTAGAGCTGGGGTCAAACTCAGTAAATCCCCATGCACGAGCTCTCTCCTCATCCCGCTCGGTGTATTCAGGAGCATACTGAGTCAGGTCCACAAGAGGGATGAGTGCACCCTGGAGGGCAGAACGGGCAGCGGCCTTAGCCACCCGATCAGCTGCCCTGTTGCCCTTTGCCATGTCAGACCCACCCTTTTGGTGGCCAGGACAATGCATCACAGCAACAGCTGATGGTAAAGCTACTGCCTTTAACAGGGCCAGGATTTCTAATGGGTGTTTGATGTCCTTGTTACTGGCAGTAAGGAGTCCCCACTCCTTCCAAATGGCCCCATGCATGTGGAGAATCATAAAAGAGTACTTGGAGTCAGTAAATATATTGACTCTTTTACCTTTCGAGAGTTCCCATGCACGGGTCAGGGAGATTAATTAGGCTTTTTGCGCTGATGTACCTGCCGGAAGAGCCTTGGCCTCCGCGGTGTTCTGGAGTGTCACCACCGCGTATCCCGCACATTCACGGCCTTGGTCCATGAAGCTGCTTCCATCTGTAAATAGCTCCTACTCTGGATCTGGCAGAGGCTGGTCAGTCAGATCTGGTCGGCTGGCATACACTGTGTCTATGGTTTCTAAACGGTTATGGATTAAAGTGTCATCCTCAGGTCCATCTGCATTGCTTGGAAACAGTGTGGCAGGATTCAGGGGATTAGAAACCTGCAGCTTCACATTAGGATTGCCCAACAGAGCTGCTTGATATTTTCCCATTCGCCCAGCAGTCAACCAAAGTCCACCCTTCTGTTCTAGCAATGTCAAGACCTGATGTGGCATACACACAGTGTTGGGCTGACCCAAGGTAAACTTCTCCGCCTCGTGTAGGAGGTCACAAGTGGCAGCCACAGCATGCAAACATGGAGGCCATCCCTTAGTGGTGTGGTCCAATTGTTTGGACAGATATGCAGCAGACTTCATTTCAGGCCCCAACAATTGGATTAGCACTCCTAGGCCAAACCCCTGTCTCTCATGTACATAAAGTCTGAATGGCTTCCTAAGATCTGGAAGCCCTAGTGCTGGTGTTTACTTTTATTTCATCAAAGGTCTTTTGACATTCTGGAGTCCAAGACAAAGGTTCAGAGTCCAGGCCTTTGAGAGCATCATATTAGGGTTTTGCTATTAGTCCAAAGTTAGGAATCCAAATCTTGCAAAACCCAGCCATACCCAAAAATATGCGCAACTGTCGCCAGTTGCTGGGGACTTTAAGGGCTGAAATTACCTGTTTTCTTTCCGTCATCAAGCTCTGTCTGCCTTTCTTAATTTCAAACCCCAAATACATCACCGTTTGTTTGCATATCTGTGCCTTTTGAAGTGACACCTTATAGTCACATTCTGCCAGGTGGTTCAGTACCATTATGGTATTTTCCAGACAAGATTTGTAGTCTGGACTTGCAATCAATAAATCATCTACATATTGCAACAAGACGCCCTGGTTTAATTGAACCTTCCTGAGATCCCTGGCCAGTATTTCCCCAAAAATAGTTGGAGAGTTCTTAAACCCCTGTGGAAGCACAGTCCAGCAATACTGGAGAGTGCTCTTGGACTTAGGGTCTTGCCACTCAAAGGCAAAAAGCAGTTGATCCTGGACATCTATTGGGATACAGAAAAAGGCATCCTTCAGGTCTAATACCGAAAACCACCCAAAGTCACCAGGTATGGCAGTTAATAAGGTGTAGGGATTAGGCACAGTGGGATGTAAATCCCGAACAATGTCATTAATGGCCCTTAAATCTTGGACAAAACAGTACTCGCCTGTATGGGGTTTCTTCACTGGCAGAATTGGAGTGTTGTACGGTGAGTGGCAGGGCCGAATGAGTCCAGATTGAAGGAACCTTTTCAATACTGGCTCAATTCCCCTCACGGCCTCCTCCTTTAAGGGGTATTGCTTCCTCCTCGGGGTTCTGCTCCCCTCTATCACTTCTATCTTTACAGGCTCTGCATTTTTTGCATATCCTGGGGCCCCATCAGCCCATACCCATTTACTTACTCATTCAACAATTTCTGAAGGTAAGAGTTCACCTTTTGGTGGAACATCTTGAGTAAGTAACATCTGGAACCGCAGAGCATGCTCTGGAGGTAGCTGTAGGTGAAGCCTCTGATTTTTTGGTGAGAATATAATTCATGCGTTGAGCTTACTTAAAGGGTCATGACCAAGTTGAGGGATTGGACACTCTTCCATGTATAGGAAGCTATGCTGGAGCAGCATGGTGCCCAGCCGGCATGCCAAAGGTTATAAGAAGGCTTTCTGTTGTGGCCTTCCTGTAATCCCAGTGACTGGTACAGTCTCTTTGCTCACTCTAGTCAATTTAGAATTCAAAACTGAATATGTTGCTCCTGTGTCCACCAAGAAATCAATCAGATGATCCCCCACAGCGAGTGTTACCCGGGGCTCTGAGGGGGTTATTCTAATGGGCTTCTTTAGATGTAGTGGACCCCTGGGCACCCCTATTCTTCATCTGAGCCTTCTCCATGAATTATCATTTGTCTTCTTTCCTCAGCACTTGTCTCTAGATTCCTTCTACTCTGTCTATATTCCCTCTAATGTTCACCTGAGGCTCAACTCTGTGCTGTCATTTGTCTTCTTTCCTCTGTATCGGTCTCTTGATTCCTTCTCTGTCCATATTCCTTATCGTCATCTGAGCCTCTACTCTGGGCTATCATTTGTCTCCTTTCCTCTCTCTTTGGTTCCTGGTTCTGTGTACTCCTTCTATATTCCCTCCTGTAACCCCTGCATGAATCATCATATCGTGGTGTTCTCAGTCTTCTATCCAGCCTTCTGTAATTATTGCGTCTGCCACTTCCCTGTAATCTGGGACAACTGTACTTCCAATGTCCCTC